GTGGGGGCTCGCGCTGGTCTGCTCGTCCGTCCCTACGTCCGTGCGGGGGAGCGCCGCGGCGGCGGAGACTGCGCCCCGGCGCGCCCGCTTCGCAGCCGGGGCGCCCTCCTGCGGCCGGACCGACGGGTGCGCCGGCTCCGACTCGCGCCGCTCGGGGCCTGCCCCGCCACGCACGCTGGCCGACCAAGTGGGGGGCAGTGGGGACACCAGCGCGGGCACCGCCCCCAGCCCATCCAGGCTGCGCAGGATGGCCTGCACGGCCGGGGCCGCGGGAAGGGGGCGGGGCGGCGCCATGGGGGGTTTGGGGGCGCACGGCCCCGTGGAGGCCACCACCCTGCCCCCCAGCTTGATGGTCATACGCGGGATGCGGGGCGGCTGGAGGACCGGGGATCCCGGGGCGGCGCCTGCCGGTGCCGGGTCTGCTCGGGCGGTCCCCAGCTGTGGGGGTGGCTCCGAGGCTGACCGGTGGCCCGGGCGGGGGGCGGGGGGCTCCTCCAGGACATCCAGATTCAATCCCGACGGCAGCATCCTACTCAGTCGAGTCCATTTCTGGGGCCCGGGCCCGCTGGCGTCCTCCAGCAGGGAACCGTACTCGTTGATGCAGTCCGGACGGCCGGGGTGCCCCGTCCGTGAGGCGCCCGCGGGGCCGAAAAAGCTCGCCAAATGTTCGTCCTGGGGGTGAAGTGGACATGAGCGTTGTGAGCAAGGGGGCAGGGGTTGGGGTCAGGGCCCTGGCAGCGAGATGCTTTCCGTTGGACCTTCCAGTGTCGGAGGGAGGGAGCTCCCGTTTCATGCTGGATGCCAGACCCCGCAGCGTCCCAGCGCCGACCACCCCCGGCTCACCAGCAGGGCGCTGTGCTCCCTGAACGGCTGGAGGAGCTGCTCCTCTGCAGCCATTGCCGTTCGGGCACCCGGCCCACCGGCAGTCGCGAGGTTTGTCAGAGGACGGGCAACGCGTGCTCGTGCGGAGTGCGTCAAGCTCGCGCGCACCAGCTCACGGAGATGGGGTGCTCAACTCAATCAAACGCTCGTATCGGCAATCAAAATGGGGCCTGAGAGGCGTCTGGACGAGGTCCGGAGGAAAGGGGAGGTTGTGCCTTGAAGACGACGTGCTGGGCGACTTCGTAGCCCGCTCGTGCGCCGCCTGAGGCTTGGCGACTGAGCGCTATTCTGTCGAATGTCTTTAAAATAGGACCCGATCTGTTCACGGAGAAGGGAAGGGCGGTCCTGGAAGGTGCGGGTCACGGTGCCCCCCGGTGATCGCAGCTGCAGATTCGAAGAAAGGGCGCCGCGCTGGAAAAGGCAGGACTGACGCCCGGCGGACCTCCTCAGCACCCATGTGGGCGAAACAATCGACATGTAGAGGAATGTAGACATGAAATGTTCAATATAATTCGTCACCCATGTGCTGATACGCCTGACTACCCCCCGAGGGTGCGGGAGCGTGTTGCGGGAATCTAGCTGAAGCCGTTGCCGGCACATGTTCCACTCAACATCCTCCACCCCTCGCAACATGCTGGCGCGAAAAGGGAAGTTCTGTACTTGTTTTCTTAGTGTCAGGCCCAACACAATCCTTGCGACATCTTGGAACGCCTAAATGTGTCATCCGGAATGGGCCGAATTCACCGTCAGCGGCTGCGGGGGGGGGGAGGGGGGGGGAGGAGGGAAGAGTATTGCGAAGGGGGTTTTCCGGATGCTCGAATGGCAACAGGCACGTGAGCGAACGCTGCCGCATGACTCACTTCTGTGATCAGTGCTCTCCCTGTGTGATGTCAATCAGGTGGATTTCAGCACAAGGAAGGTCAATTATATGCTGAGGCCAGCCATACATTTCAGAGAATCTGCCGTCGAGGTCGTCATGCAAACTTGTTTACGCTGCCCTTCGGGGTTGGCTCCACCTGCCCTCACCAGCCTCAAGCAGAAGCCCAGGGCCACGTGATCAGAGGGTTCCGTGGCACTGGGCAGCGGCCCGTATCCAGGTGTCGCCTGGTTGGGCTCCCCGCCCTCTGAGCCGCCTGGCATGGCCATGGCGCCGACCACCTGCCAATCCCCGCGGCTCAGCCAGACGTAGTCCAGGCACCCCGTGAAGGAGGGTGTGTGGTTGGTGAAGCTTGGCTCCCGCCCCCAGGCCCTCACCGCCGCGCTTTCCAGGCTCAGCCCTGTGCTGGTCCACTCCACCTGCGCCATGGGGTGTGCACATGGCCTCCCCTTTCCGATGCTCTCGGCCGGCGCGGTGGCCGATGCTTGGTTCAAGCGTGACCGGGGAGGCAACCCGCACGCCCTTCCCGGAAGCTCCTCTGCCCATGCAGCCCCACCAGGTATTGATCCCATGCACCACTCTAAGAGTCCCAGCCAGCCGAGCAAAATGCAAATGCAACCAAGGAGAACTCCCATACAAGCGAGAGCCATTCCCAATCCAGCTTCCTTTTCCCGGGCACTCCAAGGCCTCACAACTCACGTCCCTCAGGCGCCCAAGCTCGGCCGGCGAGTTGCGGCTGGCAGGGTGGTCTGAGTTGGAGGGGGCCACCCGCCCCTGACTCAGCAGCTCATACACGCCGCTGACCTTGATGCAGCCCTCCGGAACTGAGAAGCCAGGAGGGTGAAGAAGGTGGGACCATGCAAGGTTCCCAACTCATGGGATTCCATTGTCTCGCTGCCTACCACAGGCACCCCCCCCCCCCTCGCCTGCTCCCATTCAAACCGCTGCTAAGCACAACGCTGAGCGCACCCTCGTCAAACTCGTCCGACACGCGCTTCTCGGCGAGGGAGTTGAAGTCGCCGGCCAGAAGGATGGGCTGCGGTCCACCTTGGGCTGATGCAAAGGCGCGCACAGCCGCACAGGCGGCGTGCGCCTGGAGAACCTGCTCAGAGGAGTGTGGCAGAACCGCTTGGTCACGTTGTTGGCAGGGGAGGGATGTCGTATAATGGAGGAGAATACACGAGCAATCGATGTACACACCAGGGTGACAGTTGAAGAGGGGAGGGCAGGATCATTGAAGGGGAACATCATTGCTTGCACATCCAAAGCCAAGGGGCCCTGCATCGCATGCAGCATACTTTGAGGTCGGGGTGGCGAGGGTGGTAGTACAGGTGCGTGACTGCCGCGCAGAAAGCCCGTCCGGTCTCCAAATCCAAGAACCTCTTGACGAGCACGGTCTCGTCCAGCGCGCGTGCTCTCAGCGCAAAGGGCGCGGTGTCGCCTGGCTCCAACACGACGGCGTCCAGTCTGGGCGGTGGTGGGGAGAAGGGGCCGCAGGTCCAAGTGGCATTTGCATGTGGGGGAAGACTCCTCAGCGTCATGCTGCTAGGGGTGCTCGGCATCGGGAGCCGTGCGAGATCCCCTTGGCAACCGGGAGTCTATCTCGTCGATGACTGGGACCAAAGCGCCAGGCTCTCTCCATCGGCCCTACAACAACCCAGAACCCCGACCCACCGCTGCTCAAGGCTGGCGAGAGGCTGCAAACGGGCACATCGCCAGAGCAGGCAGATCCCCACGCGCTTGCCGCTGTGTAGTGCATCCGCAAGGGAGCAATGCACCTGCGCCGCTCCAAAATAGCAGCGAGGACAAGGATATGAGTCCTCACCCGTGGTTTGGTTCTGCTGCAGAGGCAGACTGCCAGTCCGGGGTAGCAAACTGCCTGGCCGGAAAACACATGCATGCACATCCTTCTGCTCCAACCCACCTAGTGACCTGACATCATTTCGCGCAGGCTCTCCATCAGCCCCTCCTCCACCTCCTGCAGGAAGTACAGATCAGCATCCAGTGCCTGCTCCCCCGCCATGAGCAAGGCCACGCGTCTGACTGGGTCCAGTACTGCGGCATCATACTCGGATCGCATCCTGCAATTGCAAGGATTTGCTTTGCTTTGACCAGAGCATGCAATTCTGTGATTCTGTCCTTGAAACTGCATCTTACGTCATTCGGTGCATGCATGCTGTCTTACTCCCATGCTGACTGCTTCCCTACACATTCACCGTGTGGTCAGGCAGTCGGCAAGGATGTTGTACGTCACGACCTTTAGGGCTCTCCCAGGAAGACAGGGCACCTCCTCGGTTCTCAAAGGGGAGCAAGGTACGAAGCCCCTTGCATACCATGGCTTGGCAAGCTGGGGGGATGCTCCCGGTCTGCAACAGGGAGCATGTCCACCGAGACAACCAGATTAATGAAGTCTAAAGGAGAGGATTACCATCCCCTTCATGCATATGTGAGCGGAGTGTCCTATTGTTTTTATGCGCCATAGAACTCTGATACCTAGTGAGGCAGGCAGATTCCATAGATGGGTGTATCAGAGCAGCCTGGAGCCCAAAGGAGCGAGCAACATGCCACTTTGTTGTAATCCTATCAGTTTGTCCTTGTATGTAATTCACACATTTGATCAGCGGGCCCAATGGACCTGCACAGCTCTGATCATCACAGGGAAAATCGCCTGTCCGACGGAAAAGCCAGGCAGCAGCATCGGACGCTGCGCAGCCCCGGAGGCAACAGGGAGGACATGCAAGCGTCAACTCGCAAAGTCGTTCTTCAACTCTGCGTTGTTAATTGTGTCTCTCACAAAATCAGAACATACCTGGGTGAAGGTAGTCCGAGTGTGTCGTCTCGGAAGTGTACCGCGCAGGACAGCGGCAGGACAGGGAGGACTGTACCGCGGAGCCCATGCAGGGGTACCCCACAGGCCCCGGGCTGGACCTGGGAGCCATGCAGGGCCTGCAGTCCATCCCCCTGCTGGGGAGCTTCGCGCCACTGGTGGAAGCCCCGGAGCAGGCCTCGGGGCAGAGTCCGCTGGACAGCCCCGGGCATGAGCAGGGCGTTTCTGGCGGGCATGACTCCCTCACAGGGCCTGGCATGGCCTTGAAAGGCCGGAGCGGTGAGCTGAATGGCAGGGGGGGAAAGAAAATGGCCCAACGTCGTCTCATGGAGTGCTTTGCGGCTGTACCCGCTGCGACGTCAGCGCCTATTCTCTGACAGGCGCATCGTCTGCCGGCACCAGGCATGGTCCAGATCACTCCCAACCCTTCTGCAGGGCCTCTGTACTGCCAAGTGGAGGGCTGTGGAGCCCAGCTGGAGGGCCTCAAGGAGTACCACCGGGTGTGCACATGGCAAGGGTGCCTGTTCTGTCGTCATGCTGTGCTCTGCGAAGGGCATGCACTCGTGCTTGGAAGGACTCCGTGTTCCCTCCACTTCCTTCTCGCATCCTGCGTGCATCCTCAGAGCAGAGCCACGGTGTCTCCCTCAAGGACTCATCATCGTCACGAACCCTTCCC